AGGAGCATTATCTGTTACGACGGCCAAATCCTCCAAACGATTCCCGGATGTAACCCACTGGGGAAACATGGCCAACATCCACTCGTTACAGGAATCTGCTTTAAATGATCACCTGCAAGTTTCTATCATGACGACATTTGTATTTGAAATAGCTGCAATCATGTGTATGTTTAAACCTTTTGAAGCAGGTACTTTCATAATTGCTCTTTTTCCTTGTCTCGCGCGTCCTTGCGTTTTTCTACAAAAAAGGTTAAAACTTGTTTCATCCAACCAAACTATCTGACGACCATTTGTGATATGTTCGTTGATGTTTCTAACATATTCAGCTCTTTTTTGTTTGTTTTCATAACTGTTCATTGTAGAAGGCTCCTTGTGCACTTTTTTTAATGAGAACAATCTGCCTTCGAGGTAATTTGCTATTGTTGTTGTGCTAACGTTTATGTTAAATTGTCTTAATATCTTTGTTTTGATGGCCACCAATGTTAATTGACAATCATTTTCAATCCATGTTAATGTTTCTTCGATTTGATCTTCGGTCAACTTTTTCGGTTTAAAACCTCCTTTTCCGATGAAATTTGAATTTCCGCTGCGAACCCAATTGTATGCTGTCTAATATTTGATACCTAGCGTTTGCGCGAGATTCACCCAATCTTCAAATCGCTCTGCACATTCAACAACTCTTCTCCTGTCATTTGGAGAAGATAAAACGTAACGTTTCCTTTCAACTTGTTCAGTTGTGTGTATTTCATGCCGACAAATCGGACAACTTGAATCTGGTTGTTCCAGAACTGGACGTAAACAAATTTGGTGACATAAATGTTGACACGGATTTAGCTTAATCACAGACTTTCGGGTCATAGTGTATTGGCATATAACACAACGATTTTTTAATTCCATTATTATTACTTGTGCATACAAAAGCAAAATTAAAGATTATAACTTAAATTCATGTCCAAAAAGACCTTTTGTAACAACCTACAAACTTAGACTGTGAATTTGCTATTTTAATTTATGTGTTCTCAATTACAAGTTACGATTTCTCAATTACATATTATGATTTCTCAATTATATCTTACGTTTTCTCATTTACATGTTGTGTTTCTTAATTACATGTTACGACTTCTTATTTACATGTTGTGTTTCTCAATTACATATAACGTTTTCTAAATTACATGTTGTGTTTCTTAATTACATACTACGACTTCTTAATTACAACTTTCATGTTCTCATTTACATCTTGAAAAGGTGTAGATATGGTTTTAAATCAAATTAATTGCATAATATACTTGCATTTTCTCTAATTATTGCTTTGCCGCATTTTCTATAAACCCATGCAAAATTCAAATTTGTGGGCTACACTATCATAAGTTATCATATTCTTTTTTATAGTTCTGCTAAAAGTATATCTACAATTACACATAACACTTGATGAATAAAAAATGAGACACAATTTAAATCAATTTATTGTATGCTATTCATAATCATGCAGTTGAAATAAATTAGTATATTTATAGGGAATTTAATACTCTATTAAAATTATATTATAGTTTTAAAATATTAATTAAAATGGCTCCGTTTAAAACAAGTTTGCATGAAGACCTAAGAAAACGCATTTGTCAATTTAGAAATTCGCATCTGGAAAAACCAAAAATATTCACAGTAAAATACTTTCTAGATGAAGGAGCATCAAAAGCAACCATATATTGTGCTCTAGAACGTGTAGACAATAATTTAGGCTATCAACGAAAAAATGGAAGCGGTCCAAAGGCGAAAAAAATGGACAAAAAGCACATAGACCAATTGAAAAAGGCATTTGATCATCATCACGGTGTTTCGCAACGTCAAGTAGCTCAAAGATTCGATTGTGACCAATCGTATATATCTAAAATTCTTAAAAACAAGACAAATATTAGATATTACAAGAAGAAAAAGGTTCCACATCGAAGCGAAAGCCATCTAGCTCGAATCAAACCTTTGTGTCGGCATATATATTGCAATTTTGGGAATTTTGATTTTGTCTTGGATGACGAATCATATTTCACATATGGGAATACAACATTGGCTGGCAACAATGGCTTCTACTATTCTAGCGTCATCTACAACTAGCGACGTCAAAATAAAAAGAAAGAAGAAGTACGATGAAAAGGTGCTAGTCTCTTTGATTATATTGCCCAAAAGTACTTCAAAACCAATGTTTTTTGAAAGTGGCATACATCGGATGTCTCCGCAAGCGGTTATTACCTTTCATTGACGAACATTATAAAAATGAAGAGTACTTGTTCTGGCCAGATTTAGCTAACTCGCACTATGCAAATGAAGTGGTTTCTTTTCTCGATGCCAATAACATCAAATACCTGCCAAAGGTAAAAAAACTACCCAATGTACCATAGGCTCGACCAATTGAGGACTTTTGGGGTCAGTTGAAACGCTTAGTCTACAATGATAATTGGCAAGCAACAAGCAACAAGCACTCAAACAGCGTATCGTGAATTATCTTAACAAAATGGATCCGGAAGTGGCAAAACGTTATGTCTTAATGACTTCAGTTCGTCTAGGTCGAATTGCTTTTAATGATGTTATTGAAAACCAATGAATATATTTTTTTAAATATTGTATAATTGTTTATAAATTTATTTTAAATTAAATTTGATAGCTATGTAACTATGGCTATAAAAACAATTTTAAAGTTGTCTTATTTTTTAGTCATCAGGTGTTATGTATTACATTTATTTTCAATTTAATTGAACATCTAGTCCATTCATTTCAGGTATTTATCAGGAAAAAAAAAGTTAAATAGGCTCAAATTTAACACATACTCGTAGAATACCAGTATTAGTATGTAATAACTTATAAATAAGGAGTATTCTTTATATATTAGGCTTGCATAGATATATTTGCAATACATTGTTTCTAGTTGTTGAATGCTAGATCTTCTTGACTCATTGCATGGGTTTTGTCTTTGTTTTTATGACTCTAAAACTCAATTTTATGGTTCTGAGGCCAGCTGGTAGTCAGGTTTCCGAACTCTGTAGTAGCTCTCAGAGAGGCTGATTCCATCAACAGATGTAAAATATTAGAGTACTAACAGTGCCATGTTGCGCATAGATGGTGTCCCTGTTCGTAATTTTTGTGTGTATTGTCGAGACCACATTTGGAGCCCTTTGTTGAGTACTATCTGTGTTTTCCTGAGTACTATCTGTGCTTTGAATCAAGTTCTTTAACCAATTTAAATAACGACTAAAGTATCAAAAACTATAAAACACAAAAAACCATTGTCATCACCAAGTTCTCTAAATCTATCATTCACTAATATTCATGTCTTCAAAGTAATTTTTCTTCTGTTGAGTCTGTTCTCTTGCAAATTTCACCAGACCTACTTGCTCTTTGCGATAATAATTTGACAAACCTAAAGCTGACTGGGACACTTTCCGTAATTTTTTTTGTGATGCCCCTATAAGTTGAAATCTTTCGTCTTCCTGCTGACAAATGTGCCACTTTTGTCATTTCTTGGATTCAGGATGGCATGGAATCTTTTTTTCCCTCTCGACGATTCCAAGTCACGCCTCACTCTTCTCCATAGATTTCCTCTTTTTGTGCTGCTGCAATTTCAAATTGTAACCATTACTTCCATATCTATCGCCAAACCTTATCTCCAAAAATTAGACACCTGTTTATGAAATCAGACGTCTATCTCCATCTATTCGGAAATCCGACGTCTATCTCAAGAAGACAGACGTCTGTTTACTAAAGCTAGAAACCATTGTAAAAAGGTTTTGTCTAACAACGAATCCCGTTATTCTCAGGTCACAAAATATCGTATTTTATCTTAAAAATTAGGCTTCAGAGACTTCTAGAGAATTTTTAACAGTGTCTATAATAAGGGCAAATCTGTTATTCCTCCTCTCTTGCATGGTTTAGATTTTGTTGCCTCACCTAAAGACAAAGCTGAATTGTTTGCTAAGAACTTTTCCTCAATCTTAAATCTTGAGTTCACAAACGAAATCCTAACTGATAAAGCCGAAAAATAGATTGATCCATTGCGTGACATTCGTATCACTCCAGCATCTGTATCTAAAGTGATTGCCTGCTTAGATTATTCTACAGCTTGTGGTCTAGACAACATACCTGTTTTAGTCTTGCGGAAGTGTTCTCCAGAGCTGTCGTCTTTACTTTCAAAACTTTTTAACAAGTGCTTATCAGAGTCTTGTTTTCCAGTCTGGTAGAAAGCAGCATCTGTTATTCCTATTTTCAAAAATTCTGGAGAGTGACTCGTTCTACTGCTGATTTGTAATAACTGATAGGTTTTATCGTGCAGTAGATAGGTGTGGAGAGGTTAAGGCTATTGGTCTTGATATTTCTAAAGCCTTTGATAAAGTTTGGCATGTCTTCTCCGTAACTCTCTTTTTACAATGTATTAGTTAACATCTTTAAGATTTAATCCTTCCTTACCAATCGTATTTGTCTATCGAGGACAACTTTTACACTAACAAAAGTTGTCCTCGTTAAACAGGACTTTTTTTATTTCCTGTAACGTCAGGGGTTCCTCAAGGTTTTATCCTTAGCCCTATACTTTTTTTAATTTACATTAACGATCTCCTAGGAACTCTTACACCTAAGGTGGAATTGTTCGCTGATAATACTACCATTTTATTCTTGTATTGATAAGAAACTAACAATTTCTTACTGCTTGGAGGGGGCATTATTATGTCATATTTAGGTCATACCAACTTAACTCAGCAAATTAGAACGGTATGACTTGAATCTAAAGAAATTATAAAAACTATACCCCATAAGGGAGAATATAACGGCTTTTGCCGAAAAATTCGGCTTAATAAATTAAATTAATAGTAACTGAGAACCGAATTTCATTAGATTCACTGTCTGGCTAAAAACAAGTGTTGACAGTAAAATATTTATTAATCGAGTATGCAAACTCTTAGAGTGTAAGGTGAAATTTAAAGTTATTAGTTAGCCCTAAAATTTATGTTTTTGACTTTTAGATAACACGAGACAGCTAATTCTTTGCACAATATTGAGTATTACCTCCGGATTTGTCCTTCTTATTGCATACTTTTTGATTTATATTTGCTGTTTAAAGCTTCACAAAAATCGATATTCTCGTTATGTTTGTACAAATGTACAAGATAAAAGAGAAGCTTGTGAAATTGAGGATGGGGCACAAACTAAATTAATGATTGTTTCAGCGCCAGTTATTCAACCAATTGACACAAATGTTAAAACTGTAGTTATTGATAGGAGTGATTCGCAAACCTTTCAAAATATTGAAACAGAAACATTTGTGAATAGCAAGACTAAAAATAAGAAAAGCGAATGCACTTTGATTAGCGCAATTAGACGAAGCCATTCAATTGATGAAGGAACGCAAACAGATCATGAAGAAACCGAGTTACTAGAATCGCAGAATAATATTTCGGCAGAAGAACAACTAGAATTAAGCTATTTAGTTGAAACAATGAACTTCTATAATAATCGTTTAAGCAACGACTTTAATTTTGATTTCAAAAATAGTTTCAAATCAAGCGAGCGTGATTTTTATTCTTGGGAAAACACAGTTGAACCTTTGCTATCTTCAATAAATGAACCTTTGCGATCTACAAAAACAAATAAAGGTTCATCAAATTTTACTTCAAATTTAGTTAGTGAAAATTTTAATTACGCAATATCTTGTCAAAATCAAACAAAAGGCGATGACTCATATTCTCCTAACTCAATTTTCAACGGAGATTTATTAGTAACTAATGAAGAGAAAGCAAAAAAAAGAAGAGGAGATGGTTTTTCTTTTATAAGATAAGAAAAATTAGTTTGCAAAACTGAAAAAGCTTAAAACAATACGCACACACACACACACACACACACACACACACACACACACACACACACACACACACACACACATTCAGAATAATTTTACTTCTATTGAACAAAAAGTAAAGAAAACTCATATGTATATGATATTTAAATTTTATGTATATATGTATATGTTATTTAAATTTTGTATTGTTTAGTTTTTCATCCAAAGCTGAAAACAGCAATGGTTTCAACATTTCAATATTATTGAAATGATACATGATAGCTATCATGTATCGTTTGTGGTTTCCGCATAGTTTAGTCATATAATGACAATATTATGATCATTATATTAAAGAAAAAACAGGAAAGTAGCAACTAAGTTAGTACTATGACTTGTTAAAACCAAAGTTCTTAATCCAGAGGCGACACTAATGTTAACATTTAAAAGATTTCTGTATACGGTAACCGACAATTTCAGTATTATCACAAGTAATTTTTTTTTTTTTTTTCGTAAGAAGTTAAATCAGAAGTGATAAACCATAATTTTGGTTCGTTCACTTAAAAAGAATTTTATTGGTCACACCAGAATTTAATCTTTTTTTTATTATGTCGTATATGGTCAAAAGTAAGCATTAATTATGTCGTATATGGTCAAAAGTTTCGTTGATTTGTAAATTAGAAGTAAGGTTCATATATTTGAATATTGTGAAACAAATTCTTACTTCTCATGCAACAAACATGTGTTAAATCACCTCGAGCCTTTATTATTCTCATCATTCCTTGTTTAATAATCAGGTCTATTCACTGGGCTGTCTAATATTAGGCAATCCAGTGTCTGTTAGGGTATAATGAAGAATTAGTTTTTGAAATAGAAAACTTAAGTTTTATTTCTTGATGTTCAATAGGGTTTTAATATATACAATAAAAATAACTTTAAAATACATTACAAAAATGGTGTAAATGAAAGAACTATTAACAATAAACAGTCATAATTTCAAAAGCAACATACTTTTGTTAAAATTCTAAATGAGCAGCCGTGGCGCATCGTAGACCGCTTGCTTTAGAAGGAAAAGATCCAGGGTTTGAAGCGAGCTTAGAGCATATATTGCGCTATTGGTAAGGAAGAAGGCGTGAATTTCCTAGTCAAATGCTTTTCCGAAGTGTTAGGGACCTAAAAAAGAATACCGCAGTTCTTGGGGCACCAAATTAAAAAAGAAAAAATGTTTCATTAAACACTTATCTATTTCAAATTATTAATTTTAAAAAAATCGATAAATCACTAGGACTTCGGGAACTTTTTAAGAGGAGCGAAAGCCCAGGAAGGAGGTGGGGCTTGTAGATTTTTTAAGACTAAGCCTAGATAACAATGGCTTTTTTGTTAACTATCCTAATTTGACACATGTATACAAAATCAAAATCTGAAAACAATATATCAAATGCACAATATCAAAAACAACTATATTGATTTAAGTTAATTTCATATTAGTGACCACTCATATAATCAAATAAAAAAACTTAAAAATTATCAATTGATTTACATCAAAAACATTGATTTACATCATATACAAAAGTATAATTATTAGTATAAATTTATTATTAGTATGAAAAGTATAATTTGATCAGGTGCATTGTTTTTTTGTTGTCATCCATAAAGGAAATCTCCTTTTTAGAGAAAGTTAAGGATCCCCGTGTCAATTTTTATGCAATTGTTTTAAGTTTTAGTAGGACATTCAAAAGCGTGACGAGGTAGGTATGGTTATTAAAAAGAAATGTAGGGATATATAATAGGGATAGAGAGGTCAAAAAGGTTGTTTTTAGGAAAGTTCTCTATGGATGACCCAGGTTAGTAGAAACATTTCAAATTATATTTTATGTAATAAAAATTACAAGTTTACCTAGCGGGCACAGACGTCCGTGGAATATCTATACAACGTCTTACGAACGTTACAAGTCCTTAGGAAGTTCTTAAGACGTCTATTAGACTTGTGGCGTCCATCTTGCTGTCTTAATAGTCCGCTTATCCATTATTGGAAGTTGTAAAAAATGATTATTTGTATATAGCATACTTATAACCCATGGTAACATTTTATTAGGAAAATATTCTTAGTAGCTGTTGAGTGTGCTCCAATATACTGTAAATCTATTTTATCTTTTTTAACAAAATTAATTTTAAATTCAATTGAGATGATTGTGGTGATTTCAAGATGCTTGCTTTTATTTCTAAAGCTATCAAACCAAAGGTATAGCAAATAAAGCTATCAAACCAAAGGTATAGCAAATAAAGCTATCAAACCAAAGGTATAGCATATTGTTGGACCTCAAATTAAAGCAATTTTAAAGTCACAGAAACCCGAGTAATTTATACAATGACAAAAGTTGAAAAAGAAGCTTGGTGTGCATTTCATGATGCTTTTGGACCCTAATTACAACTGGTTGCAAAGATAATTGTAAACTGAAGAAACTTAAATTTAAATTTAAAAAAATTTAAAGAAATTAAATATTCATTTACACCTAAATTTCTTCTCCAAAAACATGTGTGATGTCAGCGAAGAGCACGTGTCTGAAACATGTGTGAGCACAGCAAAGAGCTTTTATCAGCAGCGGCGTTCCTACTTATGGTGTCACCCGGGGCGGCAAATAGGGTGTCACCCATATATTATATGTAATTATTTTTATATACGAAATTATTAAAGCAGTATTTAGAAACGTTGACACATGTAATTTTAAACCTTGTTTTCGACAATAATAATTTAGTGTCTATAACTCTCTATAAATAATTCTCGTCTATAACAGAGAAAATAATTATTTGAAAATAAATTGTTGCCAAATAATTATTATCTCTGTTTTAGACGATAATAAATTATTATCATCTAAAATCGTCTAAAATCAGCTTTATTCTTTTATATGCTTAAAAAATCAGTAGTACCTGGATTTGATTTGATAGTAAAGTGTAATAATAAAATAGCAAACCCCTACTGAAAGAAAGAAAGCTAAGCGATTATATTTTCTAAATAATGATAACTATATCTTTCAGCATTCAGCATTTCGTAGGTTGTGTATATAAATGCCCACTTATTTTTTTATGTAAGACTGTTTAATTATAAACCAAAATAAAATATAAGATATTAATAAATTAGGTGTCACCCAAAAGTGGATGACACCCGAGGCGGTAAGCCCCCCGCCCTCCCCGTAGGTACGCCACTGTTTATCAGAACATTGAAAAAACCGAAAGTGGATATCAAGGATGATTGGATATTGCTATGATGAGAGATTAAATATAGTCTTTAGTTATAAAAAACAATATATGCTCTTATGGTAAATCGCAATCATTAAAGCACTTCTAATTGTGAGGAAATAGTTTATAGTAAAGAATCGTGAGTTTAAAAACATTTATTGTAAAGAATTGTTTCTTTTAAGTTTCACTAATATCGTACTTTTTTAAAACCTTTCAATATATAAAAAAGTAATATATGCTACGTAATTATCCTTACATTATTAGAATAGGTTGATACAACGCTAGCGCTTATATCAAGAAAGTATGAAATTAAGCATATATAAAAACTATCAATGTTACGTCAAAATCAATGTGAATATTAGGAAAACCTATATAAGAGAAATCGCCGTGCGAAGTATTTTATTTTATTATATTTCTTTTATTATTTGAAAAATGTTTTTTGCAAATGACTTCTTGTAAAATAATAAGTTTGTAAATAATAATAACTTGTAAATAATAAGTAAAACTTGTAAGTAATAAGAAAAACTTATAAATAATAATAACTTGTAAGTAATAAGTAAAATAATAAGTAAAAAAAAAAAAAATCAGAAAAGGGTAAATCAATAAGATTGTACACAATTTGATAAGTCATAAAAAGATTAAATTTAACTCTGAGATACTTAAGAGATTCATGATAGAAGACAATAAGTCTTGGTAAATAATCAGTGTATGCGGTATGACATCTTTTGCAGGTAATTTTGGTATGATATTCTTGGAAGTTTTCAATGCAATTTGAAAAATTGCATTGAAAAATTTCAAAAGTTTGTTATATTTGAGACATGATAAATAGATGAGTATGCTATATTTGAGACACAATTAATACAGGAGTATGTTATATCTGAAACACAATAAATACAGGAGTATGCTATATTCGAGACACAATAAATACAGGAGTATGTTATATCTGAGACACAATAAATACAGGAGTATGCTATATTCGAGACACAATTAATACAGGAGTATGTTATATCTGAGACACAATAAATACAGGAGTATGCTATATTCGAGACACAAGAAATACAGGAGTATGTTATATCTGAGACACAATAAATACAGGAGTATGCTATATTCGAGACACAATAAATACAGGAGTATGTTATATCTGAGACACAATAAATACAGGAGTATGTTATATCTGAGATACAATAAATACAGGAGTATGCTATATTTGAGATTCGATAAATACAAAAGTTTGTTATATTTGAGACACGATAAATACAGGAGTATGTTATATTTGAGACACAATAAATAAAGGTTGCATATATCTCTCTTTTCTACAAACTTAACCATGGTGCCTGCTCAAGCGAGCTATTATCACTTGTTCCACAAACCTTTATCTCGCATGACTTGTCTCATTCAGCTGAGTTGCATCTTTTTTACTGATGCAGTTTTTTTATGTTCAAAAATGTATTATTCATCTAGTTTTTTCCCGTGTTTTACAATATAGAGTTTTTTAAGTCTTCTGTTAATCACTTTTTCTCTCTTTTGCTCTCCTCTCTCTTTTCATGTAACATCGAACTTAATTAGTGGTTGCTTGCGGTGCAACAACTAGTGGTTGCTTGTTGTTGTTGTTGTTGTTGTTGAGAGTAAACTTGTTTTAAAAAGTAGATCAGGTGACCATTCCACAACATGTATAAGAAAAAGCAGAAGTATCTTTGAATAAAAAAACTTTTTATATCTGGATCTTGTTTTTAAAAAACCATTAAACTTTCTTTTAAGTTTAACTGATTTGTGAACAAATCAGTTACACTTAAAAGAAAGTTTAATCGCTCATCATTGTAAAAAAAAAGCACGATTCTCATCTCTAATACAAACGTATTCATAAAGTCTTTTAATAGTA